CGTCAAATAAAATAATAAAAACGGTATGAATCATATGCTTGTTCATATTAAAATGTTTTCACCGTATAAACAGAAGTAAATCTATTATAACCATAGAGAAAGAATTGATCAATTTAATTGACTAGGAATTCATATTATACCGAAATATACTCTAATGAAAGACGATGCTAACTAAAATTTTTCTTTTGCACAAGTCAGTCACTTTTCTATAAGACAGATAATAAATATAGACTTTTGCTATTTGCGCCACCTTTCGCTTTTCAATGCACATTCACTGACAAAAATGAATTAATGAATTTATTGTCTTTCTTTTCTTTAAAGTTACGACTCATTCGGATTGCATTGGATATTCTATTGAAGAAGATCAATCGACAAATATTTAGGACATATTAGAATGATCACTATCATCTATTTAATTCATTTCATCATTAATTTCAGTCACAAATAGATTTTAAACGAATCTGTTCATATAAACTAAGAAAACAATATTGTGAGAATTTTATTAAAGATAAATTATCATTAGAATATCATATAAAAAAAAGGTCGATAAATTTTCTTTTATTTTCAGATGAATACATCTGAATTTTATAATAATTTAATAATATCATCTATATTTCCTTTTCAAGCTGACAAACATCCAACGATTTCAACAAGTCGACGTCAAAGTTTTCTGGACGGTCTTGCTTTGCTACTTAATGGATCAAGTCCATCTACATCAGTCTATCCATTTTTGAAAGAAAAAACAATATTAATAACACGTAATAAACAATTAAAAGATAATGATAAAATATATTTTAATAAATTTTTTTGTTTAATACGAGAATATTCACAACATTGCTTAACATTAAATAAAAATGATATGGACGATATACATTCATCATTAGAATTCCTTGTACTTGAATATAACAAAAATAAATGTATGAAACGTATAATTGATGATTTATTTGATGATGCTGTTTCAAATCTTGAAAAATTACCAAATGCTAATTTTGATCATTTATGTCAAAAGATTACTTACAGTAAATTGAAGAAAGGAACGGCCGATTATTTTCATTTAAAAAAGAAACAAATGATTTTAAAAGAATATATTTTAATATTATTCGATTGGATCAATTATATTATTTCAAATCGAAATTCAATCAGAAAAAATAAAAGCAATGTTGAATTAAAAATCATTTTAAAATTTCAAACAATTGGTAAAGCATTATATTATTCTGAAATATTTAATTTTATACTCAAACAAGTTTATTCAAACGTCGATGATTACCAACATATTCTATATTATTTAGATAAGGTGTCAGCGCATAAGCGATCACTTGATTTAATAATAAAAGTTTTAAAGCAACGCACATTTGATTATGGTGAAATATATAAAAATATTCAATGGTATTTTATTAAACCAATTGAAAGCATCGTTAGTTTAGAAGAAAAACCATCATTATCATTTGATAAAATCTGGTCAGCATGTGGTTGTCAGAATGATGACATAAAAATTAAATTTCAAAATGATTATATTAAAAATCAACTTGATTCATATGATACAAATTTAAAATTAATAACATGTTTACATAGTGAAATTCGAATAATCGATTATTTAATCGAACAAAATATCCAAGAAATTTATGATCAAGATGTAGAAATTGGAATATCGAAATTACCATGTTATTTATGTTCATTATATATTGAAAAATTAAATAATAAATTCCATCGAAAGTTTTATGTTGATTCTTCAACGACTCATGGAAAAATTTATCCAAATTGGATGTTTAGGAAGAATGAAGAAAATATGATAAAAAATTCTGTTCATAGTCAATTATATAAATTACTCACAAATGAAATACAACTATTGCAATTAAGAATTAAAACAAAAAGTGGAGATAATGATGAGCAAGATACAGAAACAGATGATGACGATGTCGATTATGACATTACGGATCGCAATTTGAACGATATTGTAAACGTTTCATAAATTTTAAAGATTCGAAAAGAAAACAGTAACATCTTTCCTTTTTTTTTTTTGTTCTCTTTCTTTTCATTTTGTTTCTCATTTGTTCATATATTAGAATAGATTATATTCAGTTCAAAGGAAGTGTTTTTAATGATTAACTGGTATTCTTATATAGACACATGTAGTCATTTAAAAATCACTACTATCTCAAATACATCTCGACTTTTTCTTCAGAAGGATAATAAAAATCTTTGGAAAAGAACTCGAATAAACCACCACTAGTTTCACTAGTTCTACAGATCATGACACACACGATTTTCAATTTCATCAGATATTGAAATATGCCTATCTTTTTCTTATCTCTATTGTCATTATTGTTGATCAATAAATTATTTTGAACCTCTGGAATAGAA